GATTTGGTTTGACGTAGTGAATATGGATGCTTGTCACTTATTACTTAGAAGATCATGGGTGTATGATAGGCGTGCTAATTATGATGAAGACCTTAATACCTATTCTTTTACAGAGGATGGACGTAAGATTATTTTAGTATCGTTGAATCCTGAAGAAATTGCTAAAAATCTTAAGTTCAATGATGATTCTTTTCTGACCAAATTACAAATAATTGGTCCAATCAATAGTAAAAAATCTTTGAACGTTGGTCCAATCAAGAAGGAGGAGCATGAACTGGATTTAAAAGTTGAGGATTTACTTCCGAAGTTTGATGATGAGCTGTTGGAGCATCCCATATGTGAGCTTAACTTTTCACCTAATAGAGATGATCAACATAATATTAATTTGATTGTTGATTATATCCTTCCAAACGAGGCAGCATATTGCATTAATCCAGAAGTCCATGAAATTTTGCAAACACGAGAGGAAGGGTTGCTTAAAAAGGAGTCCATAATGGAGGGTTTGAGTTCATATTTTGTTCCATCTTTTTTCTTGCCCCCAAAGGATGAAATATTCAAGAATATGTAAGAGATCTCAACACAAATTCCATCAATGGTTATGATCTAGTTAAATATGATAGCGTTGTTGCTGATGAATTCTCAACAAGATATACTTCGATCTCCAAGCTTGATCCAAAGGTACTTGAATTTGATTCTTCTAAGGGTTTTCATCATGCTAAATTGAATTTTTTGGCATATCCCATAAGCACCACATTGACCTGGAGAAGTTCAAGATTTCTGAATAACTTATGATTATGGATTAGTGTTTAAAATCGATTTAAGAGGATTCATTGCAACAATATTCGTACAAAGTTACTATTGAGAATGTGGGATTTAGTTCTGCCACATGCTAAGCTGTGTTACAACACGATGAAGCTTTTTGACAAGTTAGAAAATTGCAACTTAGAGCCTAGTGAATATGAGTTCAACCAAAGCATGGAAGTTACCAAGCTTGTGCCATTTGTAGAGCCTTTAGACTCGAGGACGAGTCTTTCTCAATCAGGGGAGAATGATGTAAAAGAAGAATCTATGTTAAATTTTATTAATTTTGGCCAAGATCATGTTTTATAGCTCAAGTCCAAACATATGGACTTAATTTCAAGAAGCGCAAGAAGTCCAAGAAGCTCAAGATTGATTTCAATAAGCCAAGATTCTTTCCTTCTTAAAATAGGATTTATTTTATTCCTTTTAGAATAAGGATTTTCCTTTTAATAGGATTCTAGTTTTTTTTTTTCTTGTAGAATAGGGATTTTACTTTTCTTGTCTTTAGTAATTTTATTTTCTTATTAGAATAGGAATTGTAGTCATCGAAGAAGAGACCCTAGGCCTATATAAAGGGTTCTCATGCCTTATAGAAGAGGAGATTCACATTTTTGAAGGTTGACCCTAATTTGCAATAGAGTGTTTTTCTCTATTTTGTCTACTTTATCTTTGTTTTTGGTTCCAAGCATGGTGGTGATAGTTTTTATCTTATTTTCAATTATGTGTGGTGTTTCTTTATCATGTTAATTGATTCCAAGTGGTGACTTTAGGAACTTGTTTAGTTCTTGATCTTTCAAGAACACGTTTCTTGATCTAAATTTGTTCTTTTGATATCATAAAATCATAACTTTTATTGAACTGCTGCAATGTCAATATTCACTTATTTTGAGCGAGTAAATAGTCTTTCTTATAGTTCAGATCGTCATCTTTCACCTCATTTTTTAATCATCAGATTCCGAGTCTTAAAACTTGAGATACGTTATTTCTTGAAATCAGCCCATAAACTACGTTTTCATTTCAAGATCTTGTTCCTGGTCGTTTGGTTCTTTATTAACTCGAAGAATCACATTAGCCTTGGCCAAGCTTCATCTATTGTGTGGAGGGCAGTAACCTGGCTTCACTATTTGTCGGATTTAGTTTACGCTCCTTTTCCTTTCCGTCACTTACTTCATCCTTACTCTCCTAAGTTGTTTTGTGAAGGTGTCTTTTTTCTCGTGGCTAGAAGTAAAAGGGTTTTAGTTAACCCCGGGGATGACCATGACCGTGGCTGATATGCCCGTTTTGTAGCTGCACCAACTAGTGGATTAGTGGGTAAAGAAAACATGCCTTTTCCAAAAAAATAAAACTTTGCACGTAAGTTTTTTTTTCTTTTCTTTGATATCTAGAGTTCCTATATATAATCGCATATTCATTTTTTCAGCAACCATGGAAGTCTTTGAAGAAATTCCTGAATTTCGTGCTTGGGTAGAAAATATGATGACTGCTACTCCCATGGACAAAAGATCTTGGAAATTTCTTTCACAGAAATTCGGTTGGAAAGTGAAGACTCACGGTACTCTTTATTCTCGCGGTTTCTTTCCTTCTTTACTCATTCATATATCACTTTTTCATCACCCCCTTTTTTTTATTAGGGTTTGCTATTCGTGGCATCAGTCCCGCATCTATTCCCTCAACCAGACTTTTTGTAAGTCTTGCTCAAGAATGGATTTTGAGTGCTTCTTCCTCCAAGAGAAAAACTGTTGAAGCCCATGGGTCTGATGATGAAGAGGATGCCGAATAAGGTACCTTGATGAGAAAACTGTGTGTTAGGAGATACGTGGTTTCAGATGATGAAACCCATGTCTCTCATGATCCCACATCAAGTTCAATTCCCTTCAAACTCATTGATGAGCCAAAGAGTGCTCCTTTAGAAATTTCTAATGAAGATGTTGGAAACTCAACCAATCGCCCCCCAAGTCCTGTTGAAAGGTTATTTACCTATGGTTTTGAGGGTGAGGAAGGCCTCGAGCTTATTTCTGAAGAACTGCCTCTCGCTTCCCTTCCAGTTTTACCCATTGTTAACCCCCATGTGTCTTTACCTAGTGTCACCCCAATGGTTGCTCCCGTTGCTGCTCCTCATGTAGAAGCTGAGCCTTTTAGCAGCAAGCGGGATATGAAAAAAGTTGTTATTAAAGTCCACGAGGGTGGAAATTTGTTGAAAAAATCTGGACAAGCTGATGTATGGCTGAAACCGTTGTTAGGACCCGTGAAAAAGAAGAAGTTGGAAGGTTTCCTTGACTTTAATGAATGATATCGCTCATTATTCTCTTAAGGTATAACTTTACTTATATTTCCTTCCTTCCCTTTCCTCATTCATAACTCTTCTTCTTTTGCCTTTTTGTAGATTAATTTGATAGGCACTGAGCTTATGAAAAGGATCTCTTGAACTGGCCAGCAATTAATTGAGTTGTGCACCGAGGTTGATAACTGGAGAGAACAATTTGAAGGTCTTCAGTTAGAGAAGGACGTTCTTGCAGAGGAAAAAGGAGCTTTGGAACAACAACTGAGGATGGTCTCCACTGAGCTAGCGGTTCTAAAAGCTTCTTCCAGTCAAGTTGAGAAAGATAAGGATAGACTGGAATCTTCTTTTGCTGAACAACTTTCAAAGGCTACTGCAAAGATAAGGAGTTTGAAAGAGCTCCTTAATCAAAAAAAGGGTTACGCGGGTGATCTGGTTCAAACACTTACCCAAGCTCAAGAAGATCTACGTGCCTCTACAAGTAAAATTCAGTTCCTGGAAAGTTCTCTTGCTCCTTTGAAGACAGCTTATGAAGCCTCAGAGGCAGAAAAGAAGAATTGAAAGCTGAAATTGAGCAGTGGGAGAAGGATTATGAAGCCCTTTAGGATAAGTCATCACTTGACGTTAGCCGGGCGTTTTTTAACACTCGCCTCGAGACTTTAACTGAAGCTAGCCAGGAAGGTTTTGACCTCAATACTGAGATTACAAAGGCCAGAAAAACAATTGAACAGACTCAACAGAGTTAAAGCTTCTCTACACCCGAGGATGAAGGTTCTAAGGGTGATGGAGATGGACTTGCTCCTGGTGAAGCCGATATTCAACCCTCTTCTCCTCAAGTTGATCCTTCTTCTCCCGGTTATGATGCTCCTTGGCTTTTCTCTTTTCCAAATTTTTTGTTGAAAGTGTTTGTTTGTTGGTTTTTGTTTGGAACTCCCGTGTGTTTTTCTTGGACAACTTTTTGGAATGTTTTACTACTCCTGTATTTTTGGGGTTTTGATATAAATATCTTTATTGCTTTTGCCGCATATTATGATTTCTGACCTTTTAGTATTTGAGCTTACTCTTGCACTTAAAATGCTTAATAGACCGTGACTTCGATATACACTGGTTTTTATAAAAGAGGGTTTATATCAACGACACTGATGAAGATGACGTCTCATCTTCATATTGGTGCAAATAAATGAAACATGAAGTAGACATGAAAAGAAAAATAATTTGATGAAGTTTTATGTGTTGAACTCTCAAATGAATAAATTTTGAATATCATTTTCATAACGGTTCATACAACATTTTCATAATTGCTTTCATTATAGCAGGTTTACAAGTTCGAGTCCATTTTTTCGTGACTAAATTTATGTCCTTAATCTAGAAGCTCGTGGGAATATCGTGCATCGTTTTTGCAAGTTTGAGCGCCTTTGAAAAAGTTTGAAAAATTTTCAAGTTTTCTTCAAGGTTTCACTTCAGGCTAAACTATGCCTTTGGTATACATATTCCTTCCATGTGTAACCTTCTATATGCATAGTCCCCCCAGTGTTGGAGCATTGAAGTATAAAATCTCGAACACTGGATCAACTCTTTTCTGTTGGTCCTTTCCCTGAAAAGGAAAATACGAACAGGACTCGGAGATAATTTTTTAGATGATGACTGCATAACCCTTTTTCCATCAGAAAGGTTGTAACCTAGACCGGGAATAATTCAGTATTCCGCATGTCTTTCGGGTCTAATATCATCATTTGGTACGGGCCAGCTTTTTACCTATCATCTAAAATGGTTAGTAAAATTCAAAAGAATAAAATAAAATAGAACTTGCATGATACCTGACCGTGGGTATTATCCTCGTTTAGAAGTAGTACTTCTTTAAATGGACTGCATTCCAATTTGATAGTAACACTTTGTCGTCCATGGTTTCTAACTCATAAGCTCATTTCCCAACAATGCCTCTAATCCTATACGGGTCTTCCCAATTTGGGCTCAGCTTTCCTGTGTTTGCCGCTTTTGTTGACCGGAACATCTTTTTAAGGACGAAGTCCCCAATCTTGAAATACCTCAAATTGGCTTTCATGTTATAATATCGTTCAATCATCTGCTTTTGAGCTACCATTCGAATTAATGTTGCTTCTCTCCTTTCTTCTATCAAATCCAAGTTTACCCGCATCTCTTCCTCATTTGCTGCTTCAGTGGCATGTGTGTACCTCGTACTTGGTTCACCTATCTCTACTGGAATTAAAGCTTCTGCTTCGTATACAAGTGAAAATGGAGTCTCACTCGTACTAGTTTTTGTTGTTGTTCGGTAAGCCCATAGTACCCCGGGTAATACCTCTGGCCATTTGCCTTTTGATTCTTCCAATCTCTTTTTTAAGTTATTGATGATAACCTTACTTGTCGATCCAGCTTGCCCGTTGGCCGCTGGGTGATAAGGTGCGGAAGTAATTCGTTTAATCTGCCAACTTTGGAAGAATTCTATGACTTTCACGCCTATGAATTATGGGCCATTGTCGTATTTAATCTCCTTTGGAACTCCAAATCAGCATATAATATCTCGCCAAATGAAATCCATAACTTCTTTTTCTCGCACCTGTTTAAAAGCACATGCTTCTACCCATTTTGAGAAATAATCTGTTAAAACTAACATAAATCACACCTTTCCTTTAGCTTGAGGCAATGGCCCTACGATGTTCATGCCTCATTTTATGAAGGGCCATGGTGAAATAACTGAATACAACAGCTCCGCCGGTCGATGCATGTTATTGGCATATCGCTGACATTTATCGCACCTAGCTACAAAGGTTTCTACTTCTTCTTTCATTTTTGGCCAATAATATCATGTCCTTATTAATGTCTTCACCAACGATCTTCCCCCGGCGTGATTGCCACAATGCCCCCCATGTACTTCTTTCAATACATACTCTGTTTCTGATGGTCCGAGGCACCGTGCTAAAGGTCTACCAAACATTTTGCGATAAAAAATTTTGCGAAATTAAACAATACTGGGCAGTAACAATTGGGATTTCTTCTTATCCTCGGGCAAAATACCATATTGCAAAAAGTTCATAAATTCGTTTCCTCAATCCCAAGTTAAATTATTGAAATTTACCTCACTCTTGGTTTTAATCGAGTGTTGAATGAAACAAATGTATCACAATAATATTTTTTGCATCTGTTGCATCTACGACAGGCGCGAGATTAGCCAATGCGTCTGCTTCTGTATTTTTCTCCCTGGATATTTGCACGAATTTCCATGTCTGAAATTATCTAAGCAATTCTCGTACCTTTTCGAGGTATTGCTGCATTCGTGTCTCTCTTGTCACATAAGTCCCCTGCATTTGATTAACCACCAGCTGAGAGTCACTTTTGATCACAATTTGTTCGATACAGAGTTCTCGTGCCAATTCCAAGCCTGCAATCACAGCTTTATACTTTGCCTCATTGTTAGTGATTGGATAACATTGTATTACCTGTCTTATGACTCAACCTAAGGGTGGAATTAAAACAATACCTAAACTTGCTCCTTTAACATTGGAGGAACTGTCAGTAAATAGGGTCTAAGTCCCCGGATTAGCTCCGGTAAACACTTATAGTTCTTTTTCTACTTCAGGAACTAAGTTCGTTCTAAAATCCGCTACAAAATCTGCTAATACCTGTGACTTTATTGCAGTTCTAGGCTGATATCTGATATCATACTCACTTAGTTCTATTGCCCATTTAACTAATCTACATAATAATTCATATTTATGCAGTATGTTTCTTAATGGAAAAGTAGTTATAACAAAAATAGGATGACACTGAAAGTAAGGTCGTAACTTTCTTGATGCCATAATTAAAGCTAAAGCAAGCTTTTCTATGTGTGGATAGTGTTTCTCAGCATCCAGTGAAGACGTACTAACATAATAAATTGGGGATTGTTTACCTTTATCTTCACGTACGAAGTCCGCACTTATCGCTAATTCTGACACACCGAGGTAAATGAGCAATCTTTCACCGTCTTTTAGTTTGAATAACAGAGGTGGATTTGATAGATACAACTTTAGGTCCTTAAGATCTTGTTGGCACTCGTCAGTCCATTCAAACTGATTTTGCTTTTCCAGCATTGAAAAGAATTTAAAACTTTTTATGATAACTTTAATATAAATTTTCTCAGAGTTGCTATCCTGCTTGTTTAACCAAAAAAATAGAATGTTCAGTTCAAAGCCTATATTTAGAAGAAAACGGGTTACTGATAACTAAATTTTACTTCACCTCCTCAACAACCTCTTTAGGAAAATAATAAAAGCAATAGCATAAATTGACAGAAAGAAATAAGGAATGAAACAACGGTCAATCCCTAAAATCAAGGTAGAAAACTTTGATAAAGCAAAAAGTTATAGAGTATATTTCAGTAGTACTTGAAACTTGTCCTTACAAATAAAATTCTTTATCCTTATATAGGGGTGTACAATCATAACGTTTTTCCTATTTAAGATGAATTCATTATGAGGATTAATTGTATTGATTTCCCGTTATCATTGATAACCATAACTAACACATTTGTAGCTATAAATGCCTTACAACGGTTCTGGTTCCCCTTCCTTATTTACTTCTGGTTCATGTATCTTTCCTTCTTTTTGACCTTGATTCATTTCATTCACGCCTTTTCTTTGACAACTGTTCATGCCCCATCCTCTATTCTGTACTATCTCGTAGGTGTTTCCCTCGTACCTTCCTTGTATTCTTAATTTTGCTAATCGATCATGCCACTTGTCACTACACCATTATACCACGTGTCATGCTTCGTCAGCTTACTAACATTCCACATGTGACATCTTTTTTCCACCAATACAGATAGTCCCGCCACTTTATGAATATTCTTCAACTGAATATTTGGGAAGTGATAAGCTTTTATGGCGGGAATTCTTTGTCTCCATTTTTCGAGTATCATTGTGTCCCCTTCAGAACTGATGTGATGTATGTCACGTCTATTTAATGCCCATGCCACGTGGATTCTAACGATTGGCTCTGCAGTTTTTCAGTGCTTTTTAGGGTTTTTCTGTGGCTGCGTCAGACACAAAGTGACAGTTTCATTATGACGCTTCATAATTACCTACTTTTAATGATGGTTGTGTCTTCTTATAAATACTTCATTCTTTTTTTGATCTCTTGAAGTCTTCCTTCTTTAGTATCCACCATATTACTCTTTCTTTGTATTTTCGCATCCACTTTTTCATTATCCCTTTGGACAATCATGTCTTTTTCTACACCAGACCCTCGTAAGGTTGTGATTGTTGACGAACTTGCTCTTTCTACTGTCCCTACTAGAAGTAGGAGAGGTGGTAGAATTCATAGTCTTGGCTCGCTATCTAATTGTGGTTGTTCTTTCCCAAGCCAGTGCTGCTAAGCCTTCCTCTTCTAAAACTATGGCTCCTTTAACCCCTAGATCTTCTTCTAGGAATAGAGATTTAAATGAACCAGTGTGCAAACCCATAGTTGTAGAGATTGTTCCTCGGGAATTTTCTTTTGTAACTGATCGCGAAACCATAAGGAATCAAGTCTCTTCTATGGCCTCCCTTAATACTGCTGACCTTTATCCAAGTTTGATCAATACTGGCCTTCTCTCCCTGGTTCGAAGAGAATGTTATTGGAAACCAGATTTCTCAGTTTTAGTCCCTGGTGCCAACCAGAGAATTACCTCATACCAAGCTGGTTATTCCTTTATTTATACCTACCCTTTTACTTTAGGGTTCAAACCACCTATCGACCTAGTGATCATTGAATTTTGTCGTTATTTCAACGTGTGCCTTGGACAAATTGTCCCCATAGTATGGAAGGTTATTGCATGCCTTCGTTATTTATCCGATTTGGTTTCTATGCCTTTCACTTTTCGACACTTGCTTCATCTCTACTTCCTTAAATTGTTTCGTGAAGGAGTTTTTTCTCTCGTGGCTAGAAGTAAGAGAGTACTGGTTAGCCCTGAAGACAACCGGGGCCGTGGATGGTATGCTCGTTTTGTTGCTGCTCCCACTAGTGCACTAGTGGGTGAAGAAAACATACCTTTCCGGAGAAATGAAACTTTACACGTAAGCTTTCTTCTTCTTTTTTATTTCTGAAAAGAAAAACACCATGTGATCACTTGCCTACATTTTCAGTAACTATGGAAGTTTTTGATGAAATTCCCAACTTCCGTACTTGGGTAGATAAGATGTTAACTGTTGCACCTATGGAGAAAAGGTCTTGGAAATATCTTTCTCAAAGATTTGGTTGGAAAGTGAAACGCTCGGTATGTTTTCCATTTATTGTCTTTCCTTTTCTCTTCCTTGATGGTTCAAGGGTTTCTGATTCTTCCCCTTTTTTCTAGGGTTTCCTATTTGTGGCATTAGTCCCGTGTTTGTTCCATCCACTAGGCTTTTCGTGACTCTCGCCCAGGAAAGGATTTTAAGTGCTTCTTCTTCAAAAAGGAAAACCAACGGAGCTCGTGGCTCTGATGGTGAAGAAGAAACAGAGGAGGGTTCTTTGGTGCGAAGGCCACGCGTCAGGAGACGTGTGATTTCTGATAATAAAACTATTCCTTCTTATGACCCTTTACCAAGTTCAATCCTATTTAGACTCACGGATGAGCCGGAGAGTGCCCCTTTAGTGGTTTCTGATGAAGATGTTGTTAATCCTCCCCCAGGTTCTGTTGATAGATTGTTTGCTCATGGATTCAAAGGTGATGAAGCTTTTGGGCCTATTTCTGAAGAATTGCCCCTTGCCTCCCGTCCAATCTCAGTTTCCATTAACCCTCCTGTGTCCTTACCTGATGCTACTCCTGCAGTTATTCTTGTGGTTGCTTCTACTCCATCTGCTATTCCCGTGACTACTTCTCATGCAGAAGCCGAACCTTTTAGCAGCAGGGGGGCAATGGAAAGAGTTGTTGTTGAGGTTCCTTAATGAATGATATTGTTCATTCTTCCTTGAAGGTACAAGCTTAATTATATTTCCTTTCTCTTTTTTTTCTCACTCATAACTCTTTCTCTTTTTTTGCAGATCAACTTGATTGGTACAGAGCTTATGAAAAGAGTTTCTCAGGCGGACCAGCAAGTTATAGATTACCGCACCGAGGCTGATAACTGGAAATAACAATTCGAAGGTCTTCAATTGGAAAAAAAAGTTCTAGCGGAATAGAAGAATGCTTTGAAACAACATATGAGAGTGATTGTCGCTGAATTAGAGGTTGAAAAAGCTTCATCTAGTCAGGTCGGAAAGGACAGGGATATCATTGAATCTTCCTTTGCTGAACAACTCTCTAAGGCAACTGAAGAAATAAGGAGTTTGAAGGAACTCCTTAATCAAAAGGAGGTTTATGCGGGAGAGTTGGTTCAATACACTTACTCAAGTTCAGGAAGATCTATGCGCCTCTACTGATAAGATTCAGTTCATGGAAAGTTCTCTTGCTACTTTGAAGACAACTTATGATTCCTCTGAAGCAGAAAAAGAAGAGTTGAGAGCCGATATTGACCAGTGGGAGAAGGATTATAAGATTCTCGAGGATAAGCCATCGTTAGATGTGAGCCGAGCTTTCCTAAACACTCTCCTCGAGACTCTAGTTGAAGCCAAACTAGAGGGTTTTGACCTTAATGCTGAGATTGCTAAGGCTAAAGAAGCAATTGAGAAAACTCAACAACGTCAAAGCTTTTCCTCACCTGAAGACGAAGGTCCCGAAGGTGATGGAAATGGACTTGTTCCTGGTGGGGCTGATGTTAAAGCCTCTTCTTCTCAAGTTAATCCTTCTTCTCCTGTTGATGATGCTCCTATTAATGATGCTCCCATTGATGATGCTCCTTAGTTTTCTCCTATTTTTTGTTAACTTTTATTTTGTTGCTTTGCACTTGATTTAACAACTTTTGGGAAGGTTGTTTTTTCTTGGAGGGAAGGTCGGTTTTTGGTTTCCCTTGTCTTCTTTTGGGGTTGAATGACAAACTAATACCTCTGTTTTCCTAAGATTTAATATTTATATATATTTTGACTACTTTTACCATTTATTCTGATCTTTGATATTTGAGTTTATTCATTGCATTTAAAAATGCTTTAACAATCCATGACTTTAACAAACACGGATTTTCATAGAGAAGGGCCCTTTTATCTTAACGACACTGATGAATATGACATCTCATCTTCATATTGGTGTAAATATATGAAAGACGAAGTAGACATGAAAAAGAAATAATTTGAGGAAGTTTTATGCTTTGAACTTTCAAATGAATTTTGTACATCATTTTCATAATTATTCATACAACACTTTAATAACTGCTTTCTTTGCAGCAGATTTTGAGATACAAAATCGGGTCTATTATACCGTGACTAATTTTTGGCCTTAACCTAAAACTTGTAGGAATATGGAACGTATCTCGTATCCTTTTCGCAAGTTTACACCTTTCCAAGGTTATTTCAAGGTTTTTGATTTAGGCTTTTTGCTTCCTTCTATATGCATAGTCCCCCCACTGTTAGAGCTTTGAAGTATGAAATCTCGAACACTTGATTACTCTTTCTTTTTGGTCCATTCCCTAAAAAGGAAAATACAAACGGGACTCGGATATATACGTTTAGATGATGACTGCATAACCCCTTTTTCCATCATAAAGTTTGCAACCTAGACCGGGAATAATTTAGTATTTCACGTGTCTTTCGGGTCTAATATCATCATTTGGTACGGGCTAGCTTTTTGCCTATCATCTAAAATTATTAGTAAAATTCAGAAGAACAAAATAAAATTGTAGCTGAGTGATACCTGCCCATGGGTACTTTCTTCATCTAAAAGTAATATTTCTTCAGATGTACATCATTCCAATTTGATAGTAGTACCTTGCCATCCATGATTTCCAACTCATATGCTTATTTTCCAGCAATGCCTCGAACCCTATAAGGGCCTTCCCAAATCGGACTTAATTTTCCCACATTAGCCGCTTTTGTTGATTGAAACACCTTTTTAAGGACGAAGTCCCCAATCTTGAAGTATCTCAGATTAGCTTTCCTGTTGTAGTATCGCTCAATCATATATTCCTGAGTCGCCATCCTTATCAGTACCGCTTCTATCCTTTCTTCCAGTAAATCCAAATTCATTCGCATATCTTCTTCATTT